GCCGCGAAGCCTACAACTAGGTCACAGTATCCACAGGGCCCCGGGTAGCGGCTGGTGACGTCAAGAGACATTAATATGTAACAATACCGCGACACCTATCCCTTTGGCTGTGCTAAGGTGCCAGTCAGGTATCGAATTCTGGTTTTAGCCAATTAAAAACCCTACATTTAAAGATACTTAACCCCGCTAGGAAATAATAAGATGATAGAAGTACTAGTAATGCTGTGAGTTACAAAGAGCTACATCGCACATATTACAGCCGAACCTAGCGTATGGGGCCTTTTTGACGCTGAAAAGGTACCCGTTAGGTATCGCAGAAAAAATGGGGCCGATACCTGACTGGCACCTTAGCACAGCCAAAGGGATGGAAGAGATGATAGCGTTGGGAGTATGTCCCAGAAGAAGAGAAGACTGGGAAATATCGCTATAACTGAACTCTTATTATCTATTTTCATTGTGTGGTGTTAAGCCGAACCTTGCATCATGGTAGGCTCCATTGCGGGGGACCCTGACCAGGTGGGGCAGCCGAGCCCCGCAGCGCCAAGGCGATCGACCCGTTTAGTGACGTCAAGCGGGGATGGGAAGGAGGTATCTCGACGGGAAGAGCCGGTCGGTGACGGATACTGGGAGGCAAGCGCATAAGCGCGCCCGGCGAGCGTCATCTACAGAGTCGGATTCGGGGTCGACGGTCAACGTTGAGAACAAGTCACGTGCTGCATGTGTCTTCGCCCAGTCCAAATAGCCTTCGCCTGCTTGCCCAGTATGTAAATTGAACCAGGTTCTTCCGTTCTCTTTGAACCGTGGTAGTTAAACTGTCGATTTCTGGTTTCCTAATAAAAAGATAGGCAACACTGGCAGAAAAATATTCCAAGGCAGTGCATCCACACGCATCCACATTGACGCCTCGGTACCCCAGTTTATATGAATTGCCACGTTCAACGTTCTGGTCGCACTCGGCGTTACATCATTATCCTCAGAGCTTTCATAATCACGGCTGACTGCGTTCTAAGCTGGCCATCTCGTCTGTGTATTCAAAGTCGGTTGCGTCGGCATGTTCGGCAAGCCAAGACTCGACAGTCGATGCATTCGTAAATGTACTGAGGAAGCTGATTCCGACATTCCTCGCACTGAAAAGAGCCCTCACGGTGCCTCCAAGTCTCATGTCGGCATTCATGATTATCTCGCAAGTTCTGCTGTTCTTGTTCCATTCGGACAGCTCGCTCCGCATCGTCCAATCCGTGCCCCGCATCTCGATCAACAACAGCAGTGGCACGATCCAGTAGCCTGTTTTCATGCCACTGTTCACAAGCACAAGTCTTCCACCTCTCTCCGCAAACGTAACAAAATTGAGCGCCACAGCGACACGCTGACGTAGAGTTAGGACGAGATTCTGAGGGTCATGGTTCTCCAACTTACTAATGTGATTACAGCCAGTACTGAGCTCCACCAAGATGCGGCAGGAGGAACATCGCTGCCAACCTCGATCATTCGCCATCCGAAGGACATGCAGCGTGGCTACATCAGGAGGACAATCACTCTCATGTGCGGGTACTTTACAGCTCGTGCAAGTGCTACTGTAGCACTTTACACATGTTGCTCTATTACCGCGAATGAACTGTGGTGGAATGAAGGTGGAGCATGGTGAGTTATGACAATACGTTCGATTTGGGGTGCCATGCTCTAGCTCTTTCGCGCGATACCTCCCTGCAAGCTTGGCCGGAATAAATATCTGATTTAAGCCAAGAGGGATAGCCTGGCGGCAACACCGAGCGGGGAAAAGAGAATCGTCACTTATCGCAGCCTCGAACAGCCCAGCGATACATGTGCGACAATAGTCATGGGAACACGGGCAACGTATCGCGTCAATGTACGAGACATCCTCTTCGCAGCCGGTACAGTGTCGAGTATTGTAGTCTGCACGCAGCTCGCCTGCTTTCGCCCCTTGTGACGAGGATTCAGCATGAGCAGCATGAGTAGGCAAATCGCCGGCACCAACGAATAAGACGGCGAGTTTGCCCATCATCTCATCATCAATAAGCGGCACAGATGAGTATGTGCGTGGCGGGTTGTTCGTAGAGTCGAAGTTTGTCGCGTATTCTCTGTCGTACGTGGCCTGCTGCTCTTCATCGATACTGGCTTGGATGGCATCACCATCCATCAAGGTCGCTTGAGCAATGCTGCGGGACATGATATTGTCAGAAATGAAAGTCTGGAGCTGTTCAAGATCGTTCTTGAACAATTGAGCTGCAAATTCAACATCCGGTTCCTCGCCAAAAGCGTGCTTCCCCCTAAGCAAGCCCTCTGCATCCTCCAATTGGAGTCTCAGAATTAGGTCGAGACTTGCATTGTCAATCGGGTAAGCCATGATGGATAACCAAAAAGCTCTTGTATTGGTGTAATGGTTATCGTTATTGTGGTGTTGATGCCGCTGGTGGTGTTGACGCCGCTGTGGTGTTGAAGCCCCTGAAAACTGATGCACATCTCGATCTCAGGCTGACAGTATTGCTGCCTCAGATTGAAAGCAAACACACTAATAATTCCCAACGCGGAGGGTTGTATTGCAACCGGCGGAATAATATATTCCCGACGGTTCCAGAACCCGTTTAAAGTAAAGAGGAATGGAATTTTGCTCGAGACAGTGCTCCGGGCATCCCAATCAAGTTACGGCTCGCTCAGCGACCTCCTCCAGTTGTATTAGTTTGTAGACCCACCACACCATATCTTCTATGGGTGTAGTGTGCAGGGAGCTCCAAGTGGCCAGGGACAGGGGTTGGGCTTCAGGGCAAGGGGTAGGAAACGGCTGCCTTGCGGGAAAGCCTCCCGCGAAGCCGCGGACTCTAGTCAAGTGCTTCCTCCAAGCTACGGACCAGGGCGTTTGTGCCAGGTGGGACGGCCTTGCCGGGGGTCGATGTTCCGTCCTTTTGTAAATACTGTATTGTGGAATTCATGTGAATACTGCCACGCTAGCCTGACCGCATTCACCTATGCTCACGTTGAACCGTCCATTGGATGGCACTCGTTGCATTCGTTCATCGTGACTACCCTACATTACCTTTGCGGATAACACCTTTCTGTCATGAGTCTAATCTGTATCTCCATATGTAACCACGTAACATTATAGTGCCTCTACGAGTTTACCCCGGACACCATGTTAATAGATATTCTGCTTGAATAGTGCCCTGTTTGGTATCCAGGGTGGCAGTGGGGGCTGGACGAGAACCCTTAGCTGTGAACTTGTGGGTAACTCTCGTTCCAGTCCGTTATAAGCCCGTCCGTAATTATGGGGTGTAATTTGCCGATAAATCTCTGCGTGAACTTGGGCACAGGATATTAAAGCACTATCTTTACGCTGTCTATAAAATAATGTTATCATCAACGAAACTAGTGGGCTGTTGATAATCCCGCTATGAAAAGGACAGTAATGTATATGGCAATACATTATTGATACGTGTCTAACTTCACAGAAGGTATTAATGGTATATTTCTGCTGTGGTATAAGACATATGTACAATAGATCACTGCCTTATGTACTTGCTGGATTGTAATACTATTGTTGCTCAGCGTAACTGAGACCTTTCTCGATGAGGCGTACGATTAGTTAGATTGCGCTTCGCTACGTGACATTTAATGCTGTTGGACAACCTGTGGACAGCCAACCCGGCACACGGGGTCAAGTAACCAGAGCTAATGACAACAAAAGTTTATGCGAGTAACTATTGGTCGATGCGACCTTCTTCAGATTAGCAGATTTGGTCAGGGTTCAAAGCCACACCACACCACTACACATTCGGGGATATGGAATGGATATGGATGATGACTAAGATCACGGCCGTGGTATGGATGGATATGTATCCATAATGGATGTGAGTCCACATGTGGCAAGGATTTCCACATTACCGTGATGATTACTAGTAAGGTAGCAAGAGTCCGTGTTCCATCCGACTCTTGCCGTATCGCCATTATTCTCTCGATGGCTCTATCAGTATTTGACCCAGCTAGTCCGCCAATCTTGCCCGTACACAGCTGTATAAAGTCTAGTATAAGCCGATGGTTACAACATCTAGTCGATTCCTACGGCTCGTCAGCTGTCCCGCCACCAGAAATAAGTTCAAGTAACCTCTTGCATACTGCTGACATAAGCACCACAATAGGATTGATGAGAATATATGAGGAAAAGATCCATGAACATATGCACAGATGATGCAGCTCTTTTCTGCCAGTCAGGTGGTCATTCATGAGCAGCACCTAAGACCTTAGGTGACGGTGGTGACCTGAATATGATATCTTGACCACGGGATATTGTAACAGTTCAATTGAATATATTAACAAATGGCAAGGCAATTTATGTGAATACTAAAATTAAAGAAGAAAGCGAAAAATAACAAAGAAAAGAGAGGCCTGAGCTCAAGGCAGCTAAACTGCTTTGTCGGAGGTCCGGCCCCGCTAGCCGGAGCAGAGACGGGAACGCAAGCCGAGTTACCCCACTTAGCCCGGTACAGATATCAGTTAACAGATACTTTAGACCTGTCCTATTTAATATGTAAATTGCAGTACTTGTTAAACTTCGGAAGAAAATACCACAATTTCCACTTGTTGCCACATGTGGCCAGTTGATATGGAACCATCCCTTTGAGTGCGCTAAGGTGCCACTTGCGTACCGAACAAGGATGTGAACCAATAAAAAGTCTTGAATCAAAAGGTACGTTTTCCTACTAAGAGTTAGTATGATAGTATAAGTACCGACAGTTTCCAAGTTTATAAAGAGCTACATCGCATGAGGATTTTAGTGTGGAAGGTTTCGTGGCCGACCTTATTGCCAAAAAGGTACCTGCTAGGTATCGCAGAAAAGTGGGTCTGTTACAAAAGTGGCACCTTAGCGCACTCAAAGGGATATGTGAGTCCATATGTGGATTTTCGTGTAGTGGCTTTGAACCCTGGATTTGGTACAAAGGCTCCAGCTGCAAATCCCAGAGAAGGCCCAACAACACATCTATGGCTCGTATTTTTGTCTCCATAGAGTCCCCGCTTCTTCTGTTATGAAACACCGGGATTGGAAGGAGATTGTGGATAGTAAGTTAAAAATATGTTATTAGAGATGTGAGGGTGACTGGTTCGGGGTGGATAAGGAAGATTGGGGGCAATTGCAGGAAATCCAGCAGTATGACTACCTTCATGGCTATTCTGATGGCGAGCGTGAGGTACTCAAGAAAATTGGAATACCATATTTGAGAAGAACATTGAAGATAATTGGTAGTAAATACAAGAGTTGGTCATCATCTAGTTTTAAACCAAAACCTCATCCTCGTGGGGTGGGCCACAGCAAATAACAAGCAGCTGGGCCCAAAAAGTAACAAGCCACAAGTTCTCTGAAGGTGCAAGACAACAAGATAACCAAGAAACAGCGCTCTATCAGGATATACAAAACTCAAATATCGGTAATGGACTAAAAGCAATTGTCGCGCGGGGTCAAGTCGAGAAGATGTATATAATGAGAGAGATGAAGAACGCAGACCAGCACAACCGACCGAGCCCGATACGAACTTCTAGCAGCAGGGAATGGGCTAGCTGCCAGTATACATAATCCATTAAACCAATACAAGGCACCACCCGTGCAAGTGCTCCGTGAGATCGTAGTGAATATTCGGAACCCGGTCACCATATCGAGCCTACGGGCAATGAACTCCCGTAGCTTAAAAGCACACGTAGACCGTGCTATAGAATAAAGCGGAACATACATGGGCAAACCGTTTAAACGGTCAAATATTTCTCAAACGTTCAAACGGTTCAAAAATATCGTAAACGGTTAAACGAACGAGTAAACGATTTTAATGAACGAATAAACGATTTATGGTGGTAATAAATACCCACTACGCCTACCTGCTCTAATACCAGTCGAAATAATGCCCACTTTCGTCGTCTATGTCCTGAGAGTCACCCTCCGGCTGTGGAATTCCGATTAGACCCATCCCATTTTCATGAAGAGGCCGTATAACTCATTGACGCAGCCAACTGCCCGTACATTCAATCATCTTGATAGTTTTGCATGTGATTCGTAATCTATCCAATGAACACGTTCTTCTTGTTCCAGACAACGTTCTCTCCGGTTCTAATAACTCTATAGGGATAGAAAGAATACTAATAGCTATGCGGCTAAACTTGGAATACTGCTTGACACCGCCACTCCAGAGCTGTACAATCGGCAGTGTGTCCAACAATCAAGTACCTTGACTTACTTGGTTGTGATTGCTTGATACTTGTCAACCAAACAAAGAATAACCGATATGTCAGATAACATATTGTAACTTGTAAGGGGCAATGCGGTATTCAGCTAGACGCGTGATTAAAAACTAACAAATTCATTGCCTTTCAGAGAAGAGGAATTAGAAACTTTCCAGGAGCTGGCTGCCTAGTTACACAGTCGTTGTTTAGGGGGCTGCTACAGAGATTGGCTTCATTTGGTAGCGTTATTGCAATCGCGTCAGCCGATTGCACCTTAACGGTATAGCGCCCTACACATATTCATTTTAGAAGGAGATTTAGACTAATATTAATAAGTCTAAAGGATTTACTAACCGTAATAGCTGAAAATCGTTTAACGGTTTAAACGGCTTTAGAATGTACTTAAACGGTTAAACGGTCCAACACGTGTAAACGCTTTAAACGGAACGAACGAACGAACGAACGAACCAAAGTGCCCATGTATGAAAAAAAGGCACTCTCGCTGTCAGGACTCTTAAACACCTTGGATGGTGTTGCATCTTAAGAAGGGCGGGTATTAATTATGACTACGAATCACATTAAAAAATTGGACGAAGCGCTTATAAGACCGGGCCGTATTAACATGAAGCTTGAAATTCCGTTGGCAGATTCAGACGTGACGAAAGACCTGTTCAGCTTCGTGTTCGGGCCCGATAAACGACATGACGCCATTGATGATGAGATAATTTTGGAATTGAGCAGGCTTGCAGGAGACTTTGCCAAGAAAGTCCCAGAGCTTAAGTTTAACACAGTGCAGATTATGTCTTTTCTCTTAGGCTACCTGTCGACAGATAAGGAAAGTGCCGGTGGCTTAATAAAAGAACACATGCAGGGCAAGGGGGTCTCAACAATAAGCTTACTCCATACATTCTGTAAGCTAGGAGACTGCTACGGTGGCACATTAGCTAAGGTTCGCAGTTGCTACTATAACCCTATATCTAGTATTTTAAGCGATTTTAGCGGTTTAAGCGGTGTAAGTAATTTAAGCTATATATATAAAGCTAATCTTTACTTTATTAATTCTTTTATATAAAGAAATTAATTATTAACTTAAAATATTATAAGAAAATATTAATTATTATCTTAAATTAAATAAAACTATTATTTAACGTTTTTACTTAAAGTTACTTAACTTAAAGCCTTTTTAATTATATAATAAAATAATAAGAGATATAATATAATAAGTAATATATATATAATTAAGTAAATAATAAATAAAATATATACGTATAAGCTTATAATATTATAAGATTTTACTTAATTTTATTCTCGTTTAACTTAATTAACTTATCTTAAGTTCTTAGTCTCTTAATTAAATTAATTAATTATTCTTAAAAGCTAATACTTAATCTTATACGTATATTTATTATAAGTTATTTACCTTAGTCTTTATTAGAGTAAAAAGATACGCTATTAAGCTATTTATAATTATTATACGTATTACTAAAATAGCCTAATAATTATATGTAAATAGAAAATAAAGAGGCGAATTTATTTATATTTTAAGCTATTTACCTATAATAATAATTATAAGAATCCCTATATATAATACCTCTTAAGTAAATTAAAAAGGTATTAATATATAAGAGCCTTTTACTCTTAATTTACCTAAGTTTAATATGATTTTTAAGAAATTATACGTTTTACCTAAAAAGCTTAAGAATAGTACGTTACTCTTATAAAAAAAGCATATAATTTAAGACTATTCTCGCTTATATAAGCTAAAAGTAATTAAAGTATACTAAAAATAGTTAATTAATTCTAATAATAAAAGCTTTTTATTACATATAAAACCTTAGGTATTAATATAGGTTTTTTAATTAATAGCTTTATAAATTATACTATTATTAAATTTAAAGTATAATTATATAATAAACTTTTTAAAATTCTTTTAAGCTTAAACCTAAAAAGTTATATAAGTAACTTATTAATTCTTATATAAGAACCTATAAGAAAATCTAGTTAAGCTACTTATTTAAGTAATCCCTTTATTATTATTTAAGATTATAATAAGTAGCTTCTTTATTTTAAAGACGTATATAAAGCTTAATTCGTATAAGAAGCTAGAATTTTAAGTATATATTAATATAAAATAGGTTCTATTAAGCTTTTACTTCTTAAATAATATAAGAAACTTTATAAATATTACCTAATATTAAAGAATAATTAGATTTAAAACTTTATATAACCTAGCTTTAAAATGTATTTTCGTAACTAAACCCCTTAATAGCTTAAAAGAACTTAAATAAAGTAAGCTAGCTTTTATTAATTAAATAACTAAAAATATATAAAAGAACGTATATTATTTAATCTTTTTAAATAAGATAATTCGTATAATTTAAATGTTTAAGATAATTAAGTTATTATATAAATAAATTTTTAAGTCTTAAAGAATTAAAAGCTAATTAAGAAAGAGGTTATTAATAATAATACTATAATTAATATATTATATATAAAATTCTCTTTTACACGTATAATAAGCTTATCTTTTAATATCTCTTAAAGCTCTCTTTTAATTATTTTAATTAAACGTAATAAATTTATAAGCTTAAGTTAAGCTTCTTATATAAAATTAATAAAGAAAGTAAATAATATAAAATATAATAAACTTACTTTTTATACGTAATATATATAAAAATAATAACCTATATAAAAAGATTAAATATTTTTAATCTCTTTATTTTAAAAGTCTTATAATTAAGCTTAAAGGTCTTAAGATATTAGGTCTCCTTAAAGAGTTAGGTTAATAGTAGGCTTAAAGTTTTATTAAAAAAGCTTATATTAGTTTAAATTAGCGTATAAAAAATCCCTTTTTTTAGTTTTATACGTATAAATTATTAAGCTTCTTTATAAGAAATAAAGTTAAGTTATAAGATTAATTTTTAATTACTTACTTAATAATCTTTAATTTATTA